CGGTTTTGATTTCATCAAAATAACTTGAACTTTACTACTGAATTCCGATGAAAATTCTAATTAAGGCTGAGTTAAGTTCAGCTTTTTATTTAAGCCTCTTACTGTAGTTTTTAAATTACATTTATGCGGATTGATGTTTCAAGGCTTTCAGATTTTAATTTTAAATTCTGAAATAATTAAGAACAGCGTCATCTACCCTCTTCACTACTATCTTCACATTTGAAACAAAATTTAATTCGGTTTAAATTTGTAAAAGTTGATGTTGATTATTATTACACTGTAACGCAGCGTTCCGTTTCGCGGGGCAACAGCAGCCAAAGGGAATGTGACTCAGGTCCGTGCCGCGACGACCCACCCCGCGCTACCCGCGCCCGCGCATCTGTTGCATCATTCGCATTTCGCACCCCCAATTATGGCAATTAGTGCGCGCCAGACTTTGAAGCGGAATACGCGCGTCCCCGGTCGATACCGGAACTGACAACCCGAGAGTCTCATGCCAGTCGGGCACCTAACATTAAACTGGCAGCCCAAGCGCGGGCCCTTTAACTAGTATTTCGGAGTGAATCTACGTAATTACGACACGTACTCGTCGTCAGTCACGGCGTCAGTCACGCCGCAAACAACATGGCGTCATTACAAGAAAGTCAAATGGCAGCATTCGAACGCCTACTCGACCGAGTTTTTGAGCATAAAACTCAACTCGAATCATCAGCAACACCGACGTCGGAGCCGACATCGCCGCCTTCCTCGACGCCCGCTCACCATGCTGGGAACTTCGCGTCATGCACGGCGCGGTTCAGCGGAGCGCCCGGCGACTCACTCGACGGTTTCCTTGACGCGGTCGAATCATACAAAGATTGTGCTGACGTAGGACACGCCATCGCGTTACGAGGACTCTCGATGTTACTAACCGGAAATGCAGCCGTGTGGTGGCAAGGCGTTAAAGCTAGCATCACTTCCTGGGACGACGCTTTATCATCGTTACGAAGCGCTTTCGGTGATTGCAGACCGCCCCATCGAGTCTACTTAGAGCTCTTCAAAATGTCGCAAGGACAAAGAGAGAAGACGGAGATCTTCGTTGCCAGAGCACGAGCCCTGCTAGCTCGACTCCCACCTGGTGACCTTAGTGAGAAAGTTCAAATTGATATGCTTTACGGCCTTTACACCGTCGTGTTCGTAAAAGATTAAGAAGAGACGAAATAACTTCATACGACACGTTATTAAAGAAAACGCGCCATATCGAGGACTCCATCTACGAGACCAGTCCGCCTGAATTTATTCATCATCCTCAGCGAGCGACGCCACGTTCATCGGGTAGTACCGTAGGCGAAGTTCCCGCCGGTGCTTCGACTTCGGCGCGGATGACGCCGCGGAAAATATTCAACTCGGGCGCCGCTGGCGGCCCGCCACGCGACGACAGCGCTGCGCCGAGCACCGTTCGAGTCCCCGCGCCTCGCTACACGAACACTGATAATGTATCATCTACGTCGATTGTTAAAAGACTGTTCTGTGTTTATTGCAAAAAGTACGGACATATTCGTGATGAGTGTTTAAAATTAGCGTCAAAAACGAAATTCGACAACGAAAATACGCAAGCTGTATCCTCGTGTTACGGGTGTGGTACCAAAGGTGTTACTCGGTCTCAGTGTACAAAGTGTAACGCAAGTTATTACGCCGTCGACGCTGCAC